GGCAACTTGTGCTTCTTCAGAAGGAGGTGGTGGTTTTCTCCACACCCTTGAGAACATTTGTCATTCTGTGAGTGCCTTTAGTCCCGGATTGATGAAGTCATAACATCAATTGCTCAGACTTTATTGGTGTCATTTTTTTCATCGTAACAGTGTGGAACTGTGAAGTGATTCATACACCACCGAGGCAATAAAAATGTTATGAAGTGCAATCATTGCATGTTTCATGCTCAATAGCTAATTTTTAATTTCACCATCTTGGACATTTTTTCATCCCCTCCGGGTTCCTAAATAGGAAAGGAGAATCATTTGGACTTGGAAAACAGGAAGAGTGATTCAAAAAGAAATTAATTTATGTGGTTGTTCATTTGTTTTACTTTTGCAATTATTTCTGCTGTTTGTGTCTGAACAATAATTGTCATTCCGTGCATCAGATACCCACTTGTTCTGCAGTGAAATCACAGTCCTGTGTTTGTGACATCATTTGTTTACCATAAAGAGGAAAAGACCTCACCTATGGCATCATATGAAGTTGCATTATGGCTCAATCAGAATAAAGGCTAAAGTGAGTCTGGGTGAAGAGGAAGAAGCTGAGCCTAAAGGATTTTTTTTCTGTGCTGCCTTCTGGCTAGAAAACATCTTCCTACAAAGGAAATAATTTCCTCCACTTTTAGCAGAATATCAACTTTATGTTCTTTGTTTATTGATAGTAAAACCTTAATGGAACTGAAGTCTTTATGAATATATATGTTTATTGCATCGGGCTATTGACTTTCATGCTAAATTTTGGTCTTTAGTGGTTTGAAATTAAAGAGTCACAGAAAATTTCCTGAACCACCCAAGAGAGGGGGAGGCTGGGGGTGACTTACCTTTTATTGTACTAGAGCAATTGCTAAAAGTCCTGTGAAACAGAAGATAAGAGATGTTGGTGCTTGCGTGTCCTTTACAGTTAGCATGAGCTTTCATGCTTTTGGAGTGGAGAAGGATGCAGGTTTCATGGGATAGGCTGATTATCAGAAGTATTGGCTGTGATCATCCTTTGGTGTTCACCCTGCTGAACGTGGAGGATGTACTGGGACAGCAGCAGAGGGAATATGCCTTGATAGTTCCATATCACACTGGTACCAGCCACTTCCACAGGGGAGACAGATGATAAAACTTACAAGGGAGAATTTCATATTCTTTTTTTAATATTCAAATATATCTTTAATGTCTTCCCAAAATGTTTATATAACTCTTACTGAATTGTAGTTTAGCTAAAAAAAAATGTACTTTCATGTGTCTTCTGTTTTTCTTGTATTAGCAGAGTATCAGTTTTACAGGAGTTTTCTTTCTCCATGTTTAAGTTGGGGTGTTAACCCATTGATACCTGAAAAAAGTCCATTTGGGCATTTTGGATTTGTGAGCCAGATGAACTATGGTTTTCCCTTTCCATATGTAATCCTCTGCAGGATTTATGGAAGTACCTTTAGAGAATAATTCTTAAAATGTGTAGGATGGGAGGTAGATGGAGCAAAGCATCTGCCTCCAAGTTAATGTTCTGTGCTTTCATTTCTTTAAGAGTCTTAGATTATGAAAAACTAAAACTCTGTAAAGTAGGATTTTGCATTTTTTTCCTGCATTGTATATTAAAATTCTTTGACACTTGCTGGTTTCTTTGCGTTTGCAAGGACACTTTCACCTTCCAGGACCAAGTTCTGCATCTCACTGTAAATCCTTACAGGAATAAGCAATCGAGGGTGTAGAATTTGGGGCTAAGCAAGGCTGAAGGTGATGTGACATCATCTCTGCTTTGGAGGACAGTGCAAGGAGTCACCCACCATACATATCCAGCTCATCCAACTAAGGTTGTTATTGCCACATTGGTAAACATATGCAGCTTCCACTCTCTGTGACTTTCCTAAACTTATAAGGGAGCTGAGATCCCCTGTGCCACAGCCAAATGTGGAGGGGGACCCTGTGTCTGATGGTGCAGGAATCCAAGGAAGAGCTTGTAAAGGGGTCACGTAGGCCTTTTCCCCTTCACACAGAGAATTAGCACGTGCAATTCGGATGAAGTCAGTAGCCAAACAGCAAAATCTCAAGCAGTTTAACTGGCATTTAAGGTTTCAATCAATGAGAAATTTTATTAATTAAGAAAGTTCAATCACTCTTTAACGTGCCCAGAATTTAACCTTTAACAAGTAGCATAATCAGCATTTTCTTCTGCAGCCAGGGACCTCTACCTAGTGCACTTACACAGCTGTATGAGTACAGATGTGATATATTGTTATTCTGTATAAATCTGTCTATGCCATGTAAATCCACACCTCAGTAATGTTCCTGTTGTTACCCAGCCCTGCCTGTTTTCCTGGTATTCCTTTTTCTTTGCTGTTACCTCTGCAAATGGGAGTCTGTCCTCTGTGCTTGCCTTAGAGGTACGAGGCAGGAGTGTTTCACGATTCCTGCCTTGCAAATTGTCAGCAGGGTTCTGAAGAGAAATACCTGCTTGTTATTCCTGGAGATAAATGACATAGAGCTGGAGCATTTCCTTGGGAGATCTGGTAGCGCTGCTGTCACTGTAAGGCAGACTTTGCTATTCAGGGACTTCACAGAATTTTCTTCTTACCCCGCCGAAGCACAGATTGTAGCAAAGAAAATTTTACTCTTACATGAAGGCCTCAATGTGGTAATATGGAATAAGTAAATCTTTCAGCCAGTATCTCTTTAAAACATTTAATTCTCAAAACAGAGGTTCCCCTGGTTTTTCAGACATGCAGTGGCTTGGAAGTTCCCCACTTAATTGCAGCACTGAGGTGAGTGGTGGGAAGCATTAGGCACTTTGAGAGGTTATCCTGATCTATGACTTTAATATGCCTTCTGCTACTTCCTTTTCCCATTCACTGCATGAAAAGCAGTCACCTGTTGAGCACAGGAAGAAAGAGCCATTTCAAGATTCTGTGACCTAAGTGTGGTTCTTGGGAAGGACATTTTTAGCTGTGGGGTTACAGCCCTAAAGGTGTGCAGGCTGTGGTGCATCTGCTGGTGGGCCGTTCGAGGAGGTGGTGTGGGTCCTGCAGAACACATCAGGAAACTTCTCTCAGTTCCTCCTTTGAGGAGTAACCTTGGCTGGACCACAGCAATGCTGCCCAGAAAAACAGCCTTGAAAAAGTATCAAAGTGTTAAGTCTATCTTTTCCTTGAGTAGTTTATTCCAGTGGTTAGTTACTGTTGCTGCTCAACTTGTGCCTTATTTCTCTGTGAATTTTTCCGTGTCAACTTCGTATTCCTGGTTCTTGATTTGTCTGTCTTAATATCTTCCCTCAGTATTCCTCCAGCTCATGAACACCTTGATAGACTGAGTGCCTTCAGTCTCCTGCTACACATTTTCTATGTCATGAGTCATTATTGTAATATTTTTCCTTTATGTCTACCCAAATTCATTTTAGTTTTATGGAATTATTTTCTATGGAGGAGTTCTTGATATTCTCTTCACTCTTGTATTTGGTTTAGTTAATGTGATACAGTCTCGTGTTTTAGGACTCATGTCACTTAGAATATTATATACAATAGTAATTCATTTTGTGGGGCGACCTTAATTTACTTTTGTAGAAAAAAACCCTGACATTTAATTGATTCTTAACCAATTGATGTCCCAGTGCATTTCCCTTTTTACTGTATTATTAAGTATAGCTCTGTCCTGAAAATATTATTCTTCGGATGAGTGTTTATGTCTAATACACTTTCCTCTTTGACCTGGTACTTTACATGTGCCAGAGATGAGACAGAGCACGTTGCTCCTCCTTGCCAAACTGCTTATTCAGGTATTCACAGCTCAGCCAGGCAGGTGGGTGATGGTGTGGAACTGGGCTCCAAAGAGCAGCAGAGTTTCACAGAAAATAGGACACTGAAGTAATAAAACTTAGGAGAAAGGGAAGCCACAGCCATTTTACTACTGTAAAATGTATCTTCAAGATACAGACTTTCCTTGGTTGAGGATGCCTATGGATTGCCAGAGAGTGGTGAAGAGATATTACCATTATGTTGTGATATATTCTCATGGTCAGGTATCCTTAGAGAGAGACATCAACTTTTGTAGAATTATTTCATTCTGGAGCCTCCAACCAAATCCCATAAAGGAGTCAGACCTGATGGAAGAGCTTGCTATACATCAGCCCTTGCTGTGTCTACTATGATAAATTAAAGGTTGCTCTGGATAGGACTTACATATATTTTGTTTGACCATTCCTGCTAAATGATTAATATCCTCTCTTAACCTCAGAGATAAGATGAGGAACTGCCAAGTTCTTCCACTGAGATGGTTTAATGAAAATTGTTCTTTGCCAGAATTTTGAAGGTCAAAACCGACTTAAATATGTAAACAGACATTCCATCAAGGTAAAGCAAAAAAACTTGTAATTAATCTTTTTTAAAGAAGTCGCTTCCTTCCTTTGAGAATTTCAAACAGTGCCAGACAAGGTTCTTCTACATTTCCTTCATCATCTCCCTGAAGATTCCCTGTTAATTAACTTAGTCATTTATAAATGTTATGAAATCATGTTATTGACTTATTTCTATTTGTAAAGGCACCAGGAAATTTGTGTACTGCACCTTTTGAAAAGTAATTAATGTTTCACCTCTTAAATGCCTATTGATATTTTTGTGTTTCATATTGATTTGAAATTAATATCTCTGCCAGTTTAAAGCTCACACGCTGGTTTGTCCAGCTTTCAAAGAATGGGTAGGACAGCATCGTTGAGCTTATCCAGTTAAAATGATGACACTCATCTGATGACCTCAAGAGAAAAATACCTGCAAAGTTCTGCCCAGTCTGGGCTTCCTCCCTCTCTGGGGCTGATGGAAGGTGGCCCTTTCCCACATAATTTGGGAGGGGTTGTGTAGGTTTTAACTGACTAGAGGCTTAATGATGGGAGGAGTAAGATCAGAGCAGTTCAAGTACATGTTGTAATACCATGGGCAGAAACCAGTTGATTCTCTCATGATCCCATCCCAATGCTGCAGCATTATTAAACACTGTGCAAGGCCTTGGTGATGTTTTGCAGGGTTATGGGTGGTGCAGAAGTTGCTCTTGTGGTCTCCTTGCTTACCTGACTAATCCAATTTCCTGTTCTGGAAGTCAGTACCTGAGAGGTAGAACCTGTACCCGAGAGGTTTCACCTTTGTGGTGCAAGATGTTGTGGGATTTTCATCCTCTTTAGGTGGGGGATTTCCTTCTCATCAATACCTGACCTGTGGTGGGAAACACAGAGAGCAACACTGGATCCACTCCCAAAGGCAGCTCAGCAGCTGGTCAGGCTGCAGAGTTTGGTGTATCCACTCATGGGTGAGTTGCTGGTACTCTGTGGGAAGTTCCTTTAGTCCACTCCTTGGTGACCCTGCATGGCACATTCTTTTCCTTGAACAGAGTACATGTAGGCAGTTCTGCAGAAGTTTGGCATCTTTTACTGCTGGATAACAAACTCTTTTCTGGTTTGGGAAACAAACTTTAGTGGAGCATTTTTAGCAGAAGGGTGTCTTGTTGGCCAGTTGACCTCTACTCTGCATATAAGAATTACCTTTTTGTACTGTCAGGTACCCCAAATGTAATTACTGGAAGAATCAGATACAATATGATTAAAGGAATTCATATTTGTTATTCAAGGGGTTTCTCTGTATCAAATACTTCAGGAAAATTTCAGTAACCGGTGACCTCTTTTGAGAAATGACTCATTGCATTTTAAAGGCTTTATAACCAAGCCATCCCTTCTTGTCAGAGACATGGAAGATGAACAGATCATTCTTGCCTGCGATTTCCAGTCTCAGGGGAAGTCCCTTTTCACTGCCTGTGGTGATGCTCAGCTGCATCACCACTTTTAATTGCCTCCAGGCTCCTGCAGGACTCTGTGTGTCCCCTCTGGCATGACCTACATCCTTGCAGAACCATGAATCCCTCGGCACTGGTTAGTGGAGTCTAAGCTCAGGACAGAAAGTCCTGTTGTTGCTAATCCCAAGCTGTCTCCCAGTGCTGTAAGCTATGTGCCAGTCTCTCTCTTGTTTTCCCAAATTCATCTGGCATTATGTTGCCTGTAGAAGGATACAAATGAATTTTCTCTATTAAAGATGATGGCAGAAAATGTGAGTGCTGTCTTGAGCATTATGGATGCTGAGTGTGTTATTACACTGAAAACCAGAGAGAGATGTATTAAAAAGAGCACAGCTACCTTATCAAATCAGGAGTTCACACATCATGATATATATGTATTTTTTCTTGAAAGAGGGAATAAACAGTGAAGCAATCATTCCAGCTGTAGCCTGAAGTGCACTTCTGCAGGTCAGATCAAACTATCAATGTGTCAGGTAGGTCAGTTTAATTTGGAAGGCTTAGGTTAGTGGAGATGGTATTTTGGGTGAATTAAAGTAAACAATACAGTCTGTTGAGGAAAGGAAGCATTTATACAATATAAGATCATTTTGGATAGTTCTCCAAGAATATCTGTTCCCTTAGCCCTGAAAGCGTCTGGACCTGCTGCTGGACTTGTAACATGGGATTGAAGTTACTGGTCCTGTCCTGTTGAAGGCTCAGTATTACACAAGTTCATCTCTTCTAATTTTGCTTTTTCTACATGTTATGGTAGATAAACTAAGAACTTTATTCTCTGGGACTTGCTTATTTTGTTTCCCCCCACCCAGCTTCCAGGTGAATTTACTCATGAGCAGCATGAGTCTGTTCTTGAGCACATGTTGCTGACAAGTTTGAGCAGCCTTTTTTGTGTGTCTTAGAAGAGTTTATGAAAGATCATATCCACTCTACCTTTACTAGACTGACCTGTTTTAAGTTTTGCTTGGGAAATACACTCACCTATTCATCTGCCGTTATCCTACTCGGCTTCTCCTGTACTTGTCTGATCTTCCTCCATCAGTGATGCTTTTGTGCTGTTTTATCTGGAGTGGTAACAGTACATCATACAGTGACGTTATCTTCCTAGAAATGCCTTTCTCTAGAAATATCTTCTATGCTCTTCATGGCTTTGTCGTGCTGAGGGCTCATAATTCAGCAGTGATCAGTGGCTCTGCTGAGGTTGTTATCCTTCCTTTAAGTTAATGTATACCAGACTTCCTATCACTGGAGGAACTTGCTGTCAAACTTAATCTCACCTCCATTATTCCACTTCTGAAAGTCATCTTGAGAGATCTCTACTTCCCATCTGATATTTCTCTGCTGCTATATCACACTGATTTTACCTTCCAGTATGGTGCCATTAGTACATCTCTCTAGGGTCTGTCCTTAACCAGTGCACATGTGAAAACTGCCTTTGCTTTCATGTAGATTTGTACCCATTCTAAAATTCTTTGTAAACATTTAATGAAGCCTCAGATTGCCCCAGTGGGGCAGGTAGTTTTCCTATCAGTGAATGACTGATAGTGCTCAGAAATAAGAGCTGGTGACTTGTTCAGCATCATGCTTTGAGTCAGAAATGAGCACTGATGACATAATCCCAAGTCCTCCGCTCTGAAAGTCAAATAACAGTGTATGCTTTTTATAAAGGAAGCTATCCAAAGGCTTGTGTAAAATGGGGCATGTGTCAGTGCAAACTTGAGACTGGGATCTGGAAAGCCATCTGGAAGATAAATTTAATGGGAACTGAGTTTCAAAGCTCTTGGATAGCTTCAGATAGTGAAGTCTGGATATTTTAGCCACGGATACTTTGATGGATATGCTTTCTTGGGGTACTGTACCTGTACTTCTCCTGGGTAGTATTGGAATACCGGGGTGAGCTTCTCCATTGTTTTGCTTTATGTATTTTTTAAAGATGAGTAGCTCAGGTACATAATGCCAGTAGCTGATAGTACAGAATGCCACACTCATCTTTATTTGCTGTTTTAGTGGCACTTACCTTGAGGACTTTTGGCATGATTCATTTTGAACTTTCTAACTCTTGAGTTGCATGTGTAATATCTCTGGAAAAAAACCCCACCAGATATCCATGTCTGTCCCTGATGCCCCCAATTCTGTTTGTTGTTGTTGTGTTTATTGTGCAGATTAATCTCTGTGCATGGAGTGACTGTGAGCTGAAGTAATAATGTGGAGTGAAATCTCCTAAGTAACCGAGTTACAGGGAGCACATTCCTGAGAAAGTGAATACTAAGCTTTGCATCCGGCTGTGTAACATGGCACCTCCCTTGTAGTTTGGATTAGTATAATTCCCTCTGCTGCCTCTGCACCGCCTTGACTTGCTTCACTTCTCCAGGATCCAAAACATGCATCGTGTTCCCACAGAAGTTGCCACTTTGGGATTTGCACACAGTTTTACCTGTCTGTCCTCTGCAACCACTCACCCTCCTGCCTCTCAGCCAGGGAGAAAGCACTCCAACTGTAAGCTTCTTAACCTAAAAAAAAAAAAAAAATTAAAAAATTGTGCAAATTACCTTTCTGTTTGTTTTGGGTACAGGATAAGACTATCCCAGTTGTGTACAAAGGTTGAGAATAGCATTTGGCCCCAGATAGGATAATCTTTTGATGACAAAGGTTCAAATTTGCAATTAAATTGCTGCAGCTTAGCAAATCATAGCTTTGTGTAACTGTTTCCATGTGAGAGCATTTGGTCTACAGCAACTGCAAACCTAAAGCCCTTCTCTGTGAGCCAACAGAAATCAAACTACTTCAGGATTTTGCTGTGGAAGTGCACATATAGAGGGTTACTGTGGCACCCACAGGAATCTGTGGGTGAGGTGGATGCCAAGGGTTAGAGTGAATTGTGTTAGAGTGTTTCCACCGGGGAAAAAAGGAGATTTTTTTTTTTCCTCATTTCCTACCGTTTCACTTGAAACCAGAATAACCCCAAATTAGCTTGTTTGCAGGAGTTTCCTATCAGAGTCACTGACCTGTGCTTGTTCACAGGTACTAGGTCAACAAAAATCTAAACAAGAGTGCACCTTTTGTTTTTCAGCTATCTGGATCAAATTCCAAAGACTGTAATGTAATCCTAAAGCCCCAAGTCTGGGGATTTTGTTGCATTCCCTAATCTCTGCGTGTTCTGTGTGATTCTGTGGCCGCCCAGACCAGCCCTTGGCGTGGGACACGGTGCAGGGCCATGCTGAATTCCTATTAAAGGCAATGGGAACCTTTCCAGTGGGTCACAGACCGAGCCTACAGGGAAGGAATCTGCCCTCTGCACAGTAGCAGCCGCACTGCTGGAGCTCAGAGCAGGCACAGCGAGGGTGAGGTGGCCTTGAGAGGAAGTTTCTTTGGTGAGATGTCCTAGTATGGTGTGTTTGCATAGCTGGGCATGGTAAAGAGGATTTCTTGGGAGCAGCTTTTAATCTTCGCCGATGCGGAGCGCAAACACTGTTCTGACATCAATCATGCTAATGGCACATGTGTACACAGAGTAACAATCACCTTTTAAATATGGGAATCACAAAGACGTGCTGACAGGAAAATATATTTAAGCAGCTTCCAGTGGGTGCTGTAATAAGTAAACCAGTCATTGTATTCCACAGAGCTGCATGCTTTAAATGCCTAACAGAAAAAAAAAAAAAATAAAAACCCAACCCAAAGTGAATCACAGTAATAGAAAAGGAAGTGTTTACATCTCTCAAAACATTCTGTGCAATAATCATTCCTTCTTTATAAATTTGATTTCAGCAAATTGGAATCCAAATGAGATGAAGTTTGAAACATAAGCTTTCATGGTAAGGTACAATTCGGTGTGTAATCTTTTGCAGGTGGCTGTTATTCGTTTATTATTTGTATTTCCATATTGCTTAGCAACCCCAGTCCTGGACCAGGACCTCGCTGCTGTAAGTGCTCTGCTAACATCAGCAGAGTGGATGGTTGCTGCCTTGGAGAATGCACTGTTTTGTGGTGAAGCCAAAAGTAAACTAATGGTTTCTCATTCTGTCCTCTCTGAATGAGAAAAGATGAAGGCCGACTGATATTTAGCTATGGGATTATGAGTATAACTCTTAAATTACTGAATCAACACAAATATTTGGGGGCCTGTCAAGCATGCAGGTTCAAGTATGTGTAGTTTTCCCAGATTTTGTGTCCTGATGGCTAAAACGGGGAGTGCAGCCTCTGAGAGTGAGGTGCAGGCAGGATTGCTGCTCTCTGGGTAACCATTTGCTGACAGAGCTGCTCATGCGCGCAAATAACTACTCATGCTTTGCACATCCCTGCAATTAAAGAGGAACAGCCTACCCTGCATTGTTAAGTACTTACTAATACCTTCCCTGTGAGTGGCACAGCACCTGTATCTTCAGACAATCAATGCACACCACGCTGCATGCATTTAACAGGCAAGTTATGTAAGTCAACATTTGCGAATCTGTATCCGAGTCCTCACTTCACCTCTTAAGTAGGAACGTCTTGATGTTTCAAGGGTTTGCAGAAAGCAGTTAATACTTTCATTTGAGAGCTGGAAAGTTGGAAAAAGTAGACTAACTTTTAGCCTCAAAAGTCCTTTCATCAGCAAATTCCAAGCTCTGACACAGCTGTGCCTGAGCGTTTGGGAGCAGGGATTGCTGCTGTGGGGCAAAGAGGAGCCGCTGAGCGTTGGCAGCTTCTGTTTGTCCATCATGGCCAAGCTCTCACATGGTGAGGTTTGTATGTCTGCTTCAAACCCTCCCTCTTGCCCTGCAGCAGCCCTGCTTTAGGTAGGAAACACGATTGTCTGACAGTAGACGAGGGTTTGGGTGCTAAACTGGTAAAGAACTAAAACTTGAGCAGTGTTAAAATGCACCGGGAGGTCCTCTGGAGCTGTTTTCAGTGCTGTGTTTGGCTAGGACGTGTTTGGCTCAGAAGTGGTGAGAATAATTTGCTGCTCCCTGACAGGGCCCAGATGCCACAGGGGACCAGGCCATGGCCAAGTGCCTCAGGACAGCTGTCTCAGGACGTCGGTGGTTTGCATATGGTGGCATATTTTAATAGCAGGTTCTTGTGCACGGAGGTCACACAGGGGAACCACGTGAAATGCCTTTGTATCAAGAGGTTAAAAACAACTTATGTTAACTCTGGATGCCAGCCAAAGTTACCCAGCTGTTTGGCTGAGGCTGGGAGCTGACAGACCAAAAAAAGGGCACATGCAATTAAAATGTCACCCTCTGGAGAGAGAGAGAGAGAGGAAGGGGTGGCCATCAATGAAACCAAAGTGAGGCAGGTTTGACTGCAGCAAATGGCTTGGAAGAAAGTGGACCAAGTGTGAACACCGTGGGCACATGTTCAGCTTCCCTCAGAGTGCCCTGGGAGATGAGACAAACCTTCCTGTGATGTAACGGTGCGTGCGGGGATGTTCCTGGTAACAAAGGACACCGTAAGCTTTAGTTGCTGGAGCTGTGTGGCTGCACTGTCACTAAATGAACTTAACCTTTCTGACTAAGAATGACAAATACCTGATGTAGAATTTACCTTTTTTGCAGGGCTGGTGACAATTAAAAGATTATTTAAAAGTGTTCGATGTATTATAGTTCCCAAAGCCATGAGCTTCTATATTTCATTTCACCAGATATGAGCACAGATTGACTAGACTGTAATTGCCATTTTGTACACAACTCTTCTTAATTTCTAAATAGTCTTCTAGTCACAGGTCAATAATTGCTCTGTAAATGCCAAATATTTGGTCTCTGAATGCAGTGGCCCATGCTTCTAGTTTGAGTTTTCTCCAACTTTACTCTCCCTTCCTCCTTTCTGCCCACAAAAATCATATTGCCTGCATGGGAGCACGTTTTGTTGTGCATTTCCCCTTCTAGTGGTCTAACAAGTTGAACAAAATTGTTGAGAAAAGTCTCTACCCAAATGCAAAGAAGTTAATCTCTAAACTCTCCCAGCAGGAATATTGAAGGCGGTGAAATAGTCCATTTGGATCAGTCTCCTCTGTCAATAAACGGTTCTGCCGAGAGCTTTCCAGTGCCTGGCTTCATCAGTAGGTGATTTTCACAAGTGATCTCCTAATAAAGTGTCATCTTTTTCAACCTTGACGTCATTGCCAGTGGACATGTTGCATCTTCTTGCCTGGAACAGAGGCCCTGCTGCCTTTTTCGAGAGGGTGTTAATGCTACTCACTGAGATGGAAGGAGGGGGAGGGTTTTTCTCAGTACTGATGCCTTAGGAGGAGAGGGTCTGTTTTTGTGAGGTTGTAAATGAAACAACGTGGCTGCAGCTTGGTTTGCAGTAGGTTAAAAAAAAATAAGTTAGAACAAGTTGAATCAGGCCCCTGCTAATTTATTTCTAATCATTAGGAATGGTCATACAGTTTTAAAGCCAGAAAGAATCATTGCCTTTCTTCATATCCTTACCCTCTGATTTTCACAGCCTGCCTACTGCTCTGCTTGAGCTTTGGCATCTTGTTTTGGACACAGCCCTCACAGCCTGACCTACAGATGCTGCAGTTTTCCACTTCTGTTCTCATGCTCTGCCTTAAGTTGTAAATATTGTGTGGGTACGTGCTACATGAAGACCTGGAGGCTTTAACAACATGTAGGTTTAAACCTGGGCTGGAGAGGTAATAATCCATCATTTTTCTAGCCTACCTGAAATGCTAAGTTAAAACAAATTTCCATTTGTTGTGGGATATTTGGGTTGCTTTGGTTTTTAATAGCATTACTATTTTTATTATTAGAAATTAAAGTAGTAGCCTCAGATTTAGAGGTTTTTCTTCCTCAACAAGCTCCATTCTGCCCTAAGTTTTTTTGCTATTACATTGTAAGATTAATGAAATCCCCTGGAACCTTCAATTACTGCAATTTGTGGAGATTTCTGTTTTTCTGCAGGTCTGCAATCACCAGAGACAGGCATTTCTGCCTTTGTATGTACAAGAGCAAATGACTGGAGTCAGGAGGCGATCAGTCTAATGTTATCTGACAATGGGCGTGTGGGATTTTCCAGCACTGAAATCAGTGAACTATTCAAAGTTGCTGCCCCAGCCCCTGTCTTTCTTTCTCAAATTAGAGCTTTACAGGGTCAAAAGAAACTTGTGGAACTGGGACATGCCTCCCAAAGAGGCGAGGTGCTGTCTGACTTTGCTTCTCTGCAGGACAGCATCTCTCAGCTGTGGATCCAGGAGCAGGGAGGGAGTGGAGGAGGAAGGGAGCTGTGGCTCCCAGCTTTGCCCTGCTGCTGGTCACATCTCTCAGGGTGTTAATTTTTGCTCCTGTGCTGTGGGTTGTTGCAGATTTGCCTGTCGTGGGGCTTAAGGGCTCCCACATTATCAGCTGTGGGACCGGACATGACTCTTTCATCGACTCTGTGCTGGCTCTGGTGTTACTTTTCCCAGACATGGAGTTGAGATAACACTTCTGTCCTGCACAGTTGTGTAGGAAAGGCTGTCCCCTTTCCAAGGCTGCTTGGAAAACACAAGGTTCAGTAAAAATACTGGACTTTTTAATGCGTTCTCTCTCAGTAGTCTAAGGCGTTATTTCTCATATAACCAACTTTTTTTTTTTTTAATATGCCTTTATATCAGCATTGTCCCTTTAGAAAAGGCCTTTTAACTTTGGTGACAGCTTGGATGGTGTTCCATGTGACGTGGTGAATGGAGGGACCATCGTACAATGGGCTCGCTCTGGTTTGCTCAAACTATAAACAGCACGTAAGGGAAAACTTTTTTGCCTTCCATTCTCTGTGTGGTGTTTTGATATTAGTAGCTGACAGATTTCCACTTCTTAGCATTTGTTATCTGCTTTGTATATGCCATTTGTTATCTGTTTTGTATATGACAACAGCATAAAGCTTTTCTTGTACATATTTTTAATAAAAAAGCCAAAATGTTTGAAAGCTAAAACGGATATTACTTTTCCCGTGGAGTACACAACCTTCTTTTGATAGCCCAAACCTTTGATTAAGTGTGTTGTAAGCTAGGCACTGTATTCAGAAAGCAGTTAAGTGTTGGTGGTGGGCCTGTTTTCTTTATAACAGCCGAGCATTTTACCCTCAGAAACATAGTGAGAAACAGTTATAATTACAGATAGTGCTGAGGTGCAACATTCAGCCTTTGATTCAGTCCTGGACTCTTTCAGAATCACAGTGCTGGGGTTTAGTGCCTGGCTTCATTCTGTTAGAAGGACTGAGGGGCAGATCAGGAGCTGTGGACGCGAGGCTGTGCCGTGGAGCCCTGTGACAGCTGCTCATCGAGTGCAGCCCTGTCCTTTATCCCGAGCCCTGTCCTTTATCCCAAGCCCTGTCCTTTATCCTGGTTCCTGGTGCTGAGGAAACATCTCATGACAGAGCTGCTGTTGCTGCAGAGGTTTTGCAATCTGCTTGTGAGGTAATGGCACAAGGGGCAGAGGAAGGAAGCTCCTGCACCTCGGGACAGGGTTATCTCCCGATCAAAGCCATTAGCAGTGGTTACTGAGCTCTGGCAGCCAAACCGCTGGCAAGGTTTGTGGAGCTCTCCTGATAGTTTGGAAAGGCTTTGAAAGTGAAGGCACGACCCCAGCGTTTGATGCTGTAGGGAAGGGCAAACCAAACGAGCGTGCTGCTGGTTGTGAACTCCTGCGAACTCCTCTTTCTCACTCTGATGTTTGTCTTAGAGGCCCTGGGCTAGAACATTGCTGTGGCATTTCACCTCCTGGCCCGGAGCCCATCGTGATGCCGGTGTATAACCTTGCATAACTGAGCCTTGTTATGAATGACTGGAGAAAGTGCCATTACAGATCTCCTTCTGCCGGGGGCACTCCCCAAAACAGCTCACAACAACACCCAGCGTCTAAAAAAAACCCAGGCACTGCATGAGTTCTCAGAGCCTTTGGTATGCTGATATTACAGCAAGATTCGGTGCTGCACATGACCCACTTACAGCCTGGTAAAGTTTTCAGTTTTGCTTTTTTCACGCAGAGATCCACACTTTACCCCGTGCTGTCCATTTTTAAAGTCCATGCCGATTAAGAAAAAAAAAAAGGAAAAGACACAAAAAGAAGACTTCTCTATAGCTGTAGCATATGTCCTCTCGTAAATCCCCGTGTCATTATGATTTTCACATTGGCCTGTTCTTGCTTGTCTTTGTTATTTTGCCTCTCTGTGGGTATTCCCAGTTCTCACACTCCCTGTCCTTAGCAGCTGAGGTGACTCTCATGTGCACCCATCTTAGTGCACCCCTGTCTCTGTTTTGTTACTGATATCTGTGGATTATGCATGAGAATGCCTTTATATTATGGAAAGAAAATAATGAACAGGAAGGAAATAATGAACTTAAGAGGAGAAGTGATGAAACTGCTTGTAGTGAAAGTTTTCCCAGCAGCGTAGTGTAGATTGAGCCACAGCGGCGGCAGGAAGAAACTGCCAGTGGGAGAGCTAGAAAGTGTTCTGCCTTTGTAAACAAACTGCTGAAACTCCTCTCTGCAATGTGTTTATGCCCTCTGTGAGAGATAGGCATCTGTTCACGTAACCCTTGGAGCTAATCAGAAAATCGGGATCTGCTTATCAACTCCGCTCTCCCTGTGCTCGCTCACCCTCCCGCTCCCTCGGCTCCTCTGTTCGTGCCGCTGCTGCTCTGGGAGGGAGAGGTGAAGTTGGTGCAGCGTGAGACTCCTGCTGAGCTGATCAAGGGCTTCATCTGGGTGTGCTGCCGGAGCCCTGTTTTCGGGGCAACGTGGGATCCCCTCCCTGGACCTCATCCCCATGAGATCCTGGCCCCTGGCTGTGGCAGCAGGGGCTGCCTGCGGCACCAAGAGCTCTGAAGGTACTGACAGCAGACCAGCTCGGTTCAGTGTAAGAGCTCCATTCAGCTCCCACTTCGTGACAGCTTCTCTTATCTCACAGCACTGCTCCTGAACAAAACGATGCACTGCTGAAATAACTCCCCCCCCTCACCCCATGCACTTTTTTCTATAAGATGCCCGTTTTATACATCTTTTCAACTTCAAGTAGTGTGGTGTTATCAAGATTTAGCACACACATCACATGCACTGGATGACTTAGAGCACGGGATGTAATCTAAGTGCTGCACCGCAAGTTATGAATTTGCTAATTAGCACCTATCCTTGGCATAGACTTCTGGTTAGTGAGGAAATCCCATAACCTTTCTGCCTGGAACTGCTCTTTAAACAAGGATGCTAATCTTTAAGGACCTGATGGGTATGCTATGCCAATTCGCCAGTTAGGATTTTCAAAGCACTTTGAAGATGAAAAATGCTGAGTATTATTGGCCTTTTATCTAAAAAAGACATTTTAAAACATGAGGCTGGGGGAAGATCTGCATAAATTAACACGTGTTGATTATGCTCTATCTTTCCTTTTCATCTGAATGTATTAAGTAGCAAGAGAACTGTGAGAATTTGTATCTTTCCTTTTCATCTGAATTTATTAAACAGTAAAAGGACTCTGTGAATTAGTAATCTAATTTGAACATCAAACCAAAGGCAAAATTCTTGCTAATCCATCTTGCGGATCTCTCATCAGGAGTAGAGTTTTCTTGCATATCTCAGGTTAAAGAATGAAATTTCTGGCTCAGGTC